ACATGCCATTACTCACAATAGGTGATTATTGTTATTACTCACATAATAAAATGGTGAAAAGAAATGGAGATCGGACAGGGATATGGTATGGGTATTGGTGGGTGTAAGAGGTTGTGTCCCGCGGCCAACGGGGCATAGCTTGGTTACCCTATTTTTTCTGTCTTTGTCGGTTAAAGACTGGTCGTTGCATTATGTTCTAGTCAGGTCATAGACTTATTATCCCGAGTACATACTTGTTTATGGGAGCAGGGAAGGCTCGTTGCTCTCTTATCGTGGGTTCCGTCTCTTTCCGGACCGACTGATTGGAGGCGGGGATGGTGGAGGTCTAAGCACCATACTGAGTCCGGGACTCTGGTGTGGGGGCTTAGAGTCCAAGTTTAGACGGGGACCTAGATTCCTTGACAGGAGAGTGATGGATTGGTCCTGCTTGTGCCTGGGGTATAAGCAGGGCGTGTGTTTCGGGGTGCCCAGTTGGACACATTGATTCGCGAATCATCGAGTAATCCGGTACGACTTGTCTATAATCTAGCACCGTAGTAAGAATTGAAAGATGAAAGATGATGAAATGGTTAGATAATAAACTAATTATGACTGCTAATAAGAAACATACATAAGGATTCACTACTAGTATTGCTTTCCGCAAAAAGGAAACCCAGCAACCCATAAAGCTTGTCATATCCTTTGGAGTCGGGAAAATTATTCCTACTAGTCGGGTAAGTCTTGCGAGTACATTGTGTACTTAGGGTCTATTTACCCCTATTGCAGGTGCAGCTTGAAGAGTAGCTGTTGTGTGGAGGATTCTTCTGGTGGGCACAGACGGATCCTTGTATTCTACCGTTAGATGTTTATTGTAATTCCGCTGTTTAAATTTCGCACTCTGAACTTGATACTGTAATAATGTATTTCTAAGAACTCTGGTTGCATGAAATAGACTAAGTATTATAAATTCGTTCTCATTATTGGAACCTGGAGAAAAAACGTGAATTATTCGAGTTCTCTCTTGGATGTGCTCGATGGAATCCGTTCGATGTAGCTTGCTTTCAGGGTGCTTAGTGTCTGGTGAAAGACGAGCGCCTCTAAAGATGTGTTATTTCGAGCGGTTCTGCCACAGTGGCGGTGGCTGTGGAAGAGCCGGTGGTAGTGGTTGTGGTGGCGGCAGGGGCGGCAAGGTAGGCAGGGGTTGCGTGAGGGCCTGTGGGGGCAGGGTCGGCGGCGGCCGCGCCGTGCCGCAAGCGGCAACGAGGCACGCCACAACCGCAGCCACAGCTGCGCCGGTGACCGTGACCCTCATTTGCGCTGCGCCGGTGACCGAACTCAGCTCGTGGAGCTAGTGTGACTCTGAGGCTTGTATTTACAGAGTGTGAATTACTCAGTTGATTCATATTGTTACTTATTACTCGTATGGTTACTTATTACTCATAAAAAAGACTGAGTAGTTGACTAATCATAATAAGCTCAGTTTGGTCAGTGTATGATTGGTTTGTGTCGTTCCTGGATCGGTAAATAACGCGTTAGGGCCATGAATCTCCTCGCTACGCTTGGTCCGATTAGTCGCGTTGCCCTTCCGAGATCGGTAAGGATAACGAAATGACGTATGCCATTTGTGTTGGCCGTCAAAAGCAGACTTGCGTGGCTTGAAGCAGCAAGGTCGATTCAACAAGCCTCACCTCTCCAATACAGGAAAAGGCTCTGTTTGGATCCATGGGTTAGAGCTAGTTTGGGTTAGTTGGAGCTCAACTAGTCTTAAAGTAGTCAAACAGGAGGACTAGAGTGGGTTATTTGCAACTAGCCTATCCTAAAAAACTATCCCCCAAAGAGGTGATTATTTAGGCTAGTTGAGGCTATTTGAGGTGGGGTCCACTGTTTTCTCTCTACTTTCACCCGCACCAATGATTTGATAAGTACATTTATTATTATTTTAACCTTTGTATCCAAACATCTCTTAGGCTAGAGTTAGTTCAAGGCTAGTCCTAAATTAGAAACTAACTCTAACCTCTAGCTGTGCTAGAGTATCCCAACAGGGCCAAAGTAGCACAAGAAGCTACAGCAGGCCAAAAGCTCCGGCTACGCCAGATCCGCCTTGGGCGCCATTGCTCGCCATCCAGAAGCCGCATCCAAGCCGGCCGCAGCGAGATCCAAGTGGCAGGCAAGAGGTCAGCGTGGACTGCTGGCAGGTACGCAGAGACCTCCAAATGTAGAAGCAAACCAAAAACTATAACAAGACAAAGAATCAATAGCTGATTACTGCGTTGCACCGTGGTGACCAGGAGGAGCAATTGAAATGGGAGAAGAGTTACCACACCCATCTCGCCGGACGGACGGGGCGGCATCTCGCGTGTGGTGGGTGGAAACGTGAGGAGGGTTGGCGCACCATGCTCCATCCCGAGCTTGCACCCCTGTCCCCGCCTCCTGGCCCTGGCCGTCCACCGCTGGATCACGCCTCGCTCACCGGATCAGGATGCCGGGATCCTAGATCCGCCCGCCCCTACCGCGAGGAGTGGCAGGAGCTAGCGGTGGCGCGGGCGACGATAGGCACGGGCAGGGCAGCGACGACAGGCAGGGGCGACGACTCGATGTGGCGAGCGGTCACGGGGACTCGATTTGGAGTGTGCGGCTAGCTAGGGTTTGGTAGTTTGGCACACTGCATGTCTTTCGCACCTCTCAACTTCACAACAAATGCATACAAGAATCATATGTTTAAGTTGAAATTAACCTATAGTCAAAATAACATTCACAACTATGAGTCAATCTTTAGTCAAAATCACATATATAGAAATAATAGTACACTTAGCATTTAAATATGAGCTTAAGACTTATTTAACTTTGATTGAATTAAAATAAGTCACGTCCAATTAAAATCCAACTTCTACCACGATTACGAAACGGCTTGTGTCTTGGAGATTGAGATTCTATTTGGGTTGCACCGTGCCAATGAACCTGGCGAGACAGTAGCGGTGAAGGGAACTTGTGGTCGTGTTTGCGTGCACTCATGGAGAATGCCTGCATTGCAATCAAGGAGGGACTCTACGTACCAAAGTGTGGTGGACAATATGAGCGTACGTCCCTCTCTCCAACCAATCACGAGCAGCCACGCCGCGCGCAGCAGCAGAGGACACCCCTACCGAAATGAGATTGACAATGTGCGCCTACTTGCCTCGCTCCAACGAAACACGAGCAGCCACGCCGCGCGCAGCACCGGAGGACACCCGAGGCTGCGGAGCGTGATCCACGCCGCCGGCACGGAATTATGGCGATGGCGAGTGCTCCAGCACCAAGCTGCGCCGGGGATCTCGCGTCTTCCTGACTCTGAACAACAACCTGCTCGCGTCCGCTGCCCGCGGATCCGCTTTCACAGAGGGAAACGTAAGAGAGGACCCCCAACCCGGGAGCCTAGGCCATGTTTAGTTCCCACCAAATCCAAACTTTGGCACTATGCAAAAAGAAGATTCCCCGTCACATCAAACTTGCGGTATATGCATGGAGTACTAAATGTTGACGAAATCAAAAACTAATTACACAGTTTGGTTGTACTTTGCGAGACGAACGTTTTGAGCCTAATTAGTCAACGATTGGACAATTATTACCGAATACAAACAAAACGCTACAGTGTACTACAGGAACCCGAAAGTTTGGCGGCGCCGATTCTGCTCGTAACTAAACATGGCCCTACTCACACTGCCACCGCTGCCAAATTAAGGAGTCGCGTGGTTTCTCTTTCTAAACTTTGTCGTTGTATTATTAAATATTTGACACATGTACGGAGTATTAAATATAGACTAATTATGAAACTAATTGCACAGTTTGCGACTAATTTGCGAGACGAATCTTTTAAGCCTAATTATTTTATGTTTTGATAATTTAGTGCTACAGTAAACATATGCTAATAATAAATTGATTAGGCTTAATAAATTCGCCTCGTGGAATACTGACAGACTATGTAATTTATTTTTTTATTAGCATCAAATATCTCATTCGACACACTCACGTGATTCTGGTCACCGAATCCCAACACTCACCAACCATGCTTGCGCTCTGCAGGTGCAGGGGCAGGTGCAGCATTTACTCCTTTGTTTAACGCATTTCATTGGTGGTGGTGGCGGGGTGCTGTTACTGTCAACGACCTAATAATGCACTGCTGCTACCTAATCCGGTGATTATGGTTATGGTTGATGCGTCATTCACCGATCTGATGTCTTCCTAATTATATTTTTCGACGAAACTTCATCAATGGTTTTGGACCTACTACTAGTACATAAACTTAATTAGGCTATGGTTAATGACAGAGAGGTCACGGTGCTCAACCCCTGCATTCATGGTGTAGCGCAAGTTGTGCAATCAACTCAACTGGTATCCCCACTGCAGGACCTACATCGATTATTTTTGCATCTTTACAACCAATCCAGCTGTATGGGAACGAAGCCAACTTCTATATTTACTCTCTCTGTTTTTTTTTTTTGGCATCAGAGTTGACTGTAACATTTTCTCTCTTTCTTTTTTCTCAATGGCAAAGTTGACTGTGAAAACCTGTCAAAGGTATCAAGCATGCCAAGTTCTCAAGTACACAGGCATAATATAAAGTGCTTTCAGTTATTCAGAAATTGAAAGCAATCTCTATCAGCTATACAAATACTACAGGGTAGTAACAGATGTGGGTGCCTCTTCGTCTTGGTGTACTTCCGGTGGCCACCAACCAGCAACCACGCACAAATTCACGCCGAAATCGACCCGCGGGTAAATATAAAAATATAAAAAGGACACAGAAAAGAAAAGGGCGGCCAACTTGTGTAGCTATCCGGAATTGAACGAGCTCGGCACTAGTATGCCCGTGTGCCGGGTCTACCCATCGGTTGGCCGTTGGTGAGCTCGCCAGTCGCCGCTCAGCATTGTAGCATGACGATGATGATATGATTGAGAAGTGGCCCTTAAAAATCGGTTCAACCTGCACCGAAGTGCCGTACAGCAACCTCCACTGCGGCCCGATCGGTTTGACCATGTGTCCATCACAGCTTGCTCATACCAACCACGTCGCCGGCGCTGGCGCCGGTGTCGGTGCCGGCAGAGGAGTGGCGGCGAACGAAGTCGGCCACCTGCGCGGTGAACTCCGCGGCGCAGTTGGCCTTGAACAACTCCATCGCGTGGTACCCGGCGCCGTCGAGCCTCGCCTCCACGGCGACCCCGGCCTTGCGCAGAGCGTTGACGAGCGTCCTTGTCCGGTCCCGCGGCGGGTCCTTGCGCCGCCCGAGCACCAGGCAGGGCGGGAGCCTCCGCAGCCGCGCGGCGCCCACACGGGCGAGCATGGACTCCGGGTTGCAGTACTCGTGGTCCCGGTCCGCGCCCACGGGCAGCGCGAGCTCCCAGAGCAGGTCGTTGGCCGGCAGCGGCAGCACGCGGTCGTCCACGGAGGCCGCCTCCGCGGGCGACCTCGCGGCGCCGCCGAGGTGCGGTTGGTTCAGGATCACCCCGCGCAGCTCCACGCCGGCGTCCGCCGCCGCCAACGCGGCGCGGAACGCGATGCTGGCCCCGTTGTGGCTGCCCATCACGAACACGGGCCTGCCGGCGGCGGCGTGCGGGCGCGCCCACAGGACGGCGTCCGCGGCGTCCTCGAACGCCGCGGGGAGGCGGTGCTCGGGGGCCAGGCGGTAGTCCACGGACGCGACGGCCGCCGGCGCCGCGGCGGCGAGCGCCGTGCAGGTGTTGTGGAACGGCTCGGAGGCCGCGCGGAAGAGGACGTACCCGCCGCCGTGGAAGTAGACGATCAGCGGCAGCCGGTCGTGGTGGCCGCCGGACCCGGACGGCACGAAGAGGCGGAGGCCCGTGCCGGTGGCGTCGTTGAGCGGGACGTCGTTGGAGTGGACCGCAATGCGGCGAGACCCCTGGTCGTCCTCGACCGACACGGGCTCCCCGGCCGGCGCCGCGGGGAGGAGCGGCGCCTCCCCGTAGCGGCACAGCGAGCCGTCCGGGTTGAAGCGGATCTTGAGGTACTTATACGGGTCCATTGCGCCCACTGCACTGCACAGCAGAGCTCTACCTCGGTGGTGAGACAACAGAAAAGTGCGTGCAGGTGCAGCGTGCGTTTACTCAAACTGGATCTGCTAGCGGCTGCTGGCTGAAGCTGAACTGCGGAACTGAGCTAGATCGTGGCGCTTATATACCGCGAGCGGGGGCGGGGGGGTGGGCGCGCTGCGGGCCGCCTGAGTGTCCTTGCTCTGAGAGCGACGGCCGCTCACAGGGGCCGGTTGGGTGGCGCGATCCCATCGACGGGTGAGACGAGCAACTGAGCAAGACCCCGCGCGCCGTCCACACTCTCTCACCCGCCGGCCGCCGCCCCCGCGCGGGGGCGCGGACACCGTGCGTTCAACTCTCCCGGGTGGATCGGCGAATGGGATGGCAGCGCCGCGGAACGTCCTGGTTGGGTTCAGACGCGCGGATGGGACGGGACGGGCGGGCGGGGACCGCGGCGCACCAACGAACACCGAGCGCGTGCAGCGCCGTACTGTTTGTGGCGCGAGTGGCCGCGGTGCGGCCACGCAGGTCCTCCGTGTGGTACAGTACACCGGTACGAAGATGATTGCGCTGATGCCGCTTTGAGCTCTGCGACCTGTCCTTTAGCGGATCGGAGGCCAGCAATTTTCCTTCCGTGCAGGAAATGTGGGTTTGCACACCTGAAAGTGGTAACGTAAAGTCATGCAGACCTGCACGGATGTACGTAGGAAAGAAAACCGTTGCAAATTCGGTTCATTTGTGCATCTCTTATGGTCGCCAGTCGCCACTCCCACCCTACCCTTTAAGCTAATGCAAAGCCGCAACGACGTGATTACCCCGTTCGCTAGGCTAATAAGCCACGACTGATAGTACTATTAGCTGATTTGTTGTGAGAGAAAAATATTGTTTTAGCTAAAAAAATAAGCTAAAAAGTACGGATTATAAGACAAGCGAACGGGGCCAAGATTCAGGTGACAAAAATATCAACGGATTAGACACTTGCCACTTTTTTTTTGAAAGAGTCATAGTTTTTAAGGCGGTAAGGCGAGGTGCGGCGTTCGACCCCCTTCCAGACGCCTAGGCGAGTTAGGCGCTGGGCGAGGCGACGCCATACACATACTCTAACCTTCCATAGGACAGCACAAACATACACTTATACATACTTTTTTGCTGCCAATTCTGGAGCTCATGTAGCAGTGATCCTCCTGTTTCCAGTTGCCTTCTTCCATGTGCCATACAACCCCTAACAAGTTTCAACATGTGTGACTCATTAATATAATTATGTAACAGAAATACTTTGTAATCAAATTAAATATGGATAGTGAAATACCTTTTGATGATCTGGACTCTCTTTTCTTCTCCCAAACAGCAAGCTGCATATACAATAAGGAATTTAGCAACAACAAGGAAATTTAACAACAAAAGACACAAGCAAATATCAATATGTCATCATTACATCAGCTGATCAGCCCATAAACTCAGATAAGAGTCTTAGTGGCATAGTTAGCCACATTACAAACATTCCAGAAATATAGATAAGAGTCTTAATGGCATAGTTAGCCACATTACAAGCAGTTCACAAATATAACTAGTGCAGATCTAAAATCTGCTAGCAGCCAACTCTCAACATTCAATATCCGTCATCAAACTCATCAAGGATGTTTGGACCCTCCATGTTTTCGCCGCCACCGTTGGAGCCATTGGGATCCTGCTCACAATCACTCACATCAGCATCGTCATGTGGATCTTCCTCTTCCTCTTCTTCATTGGCCAAACCTAAGTCTTCTTCAAGTTCAGCCAACCTTGACTGTCCATTTCTTGCACGCTTGCTGCTAGCATTCCTTGGAAGATTGCGGCCTCGCAGCGAGCTTGATGCACCAACAGCTTCATCCACAAGTTTCCATGTAAGGCCATTACCATTGTCACCATTGTCACACCCACGGGCACCTTGAGGATGAACATAGGAGGAGTCAGCCCACTCATTGTCCCAATCAAACTCCTCAATGACCAAAGAATCAAAATTTTTCTCTTTTTTCTCACGCCTTAACTGAAACCTGATCTTCATCTTCCAGTTGTAGGAAACAAACACAATGTCATTTAATCGCTTATGCAACAACCTATTTCTTTTCTTTGTATGCATCTACAAAAGAAGAATAAGAAAACAACAAATAAATGTGTCATTAATTGGCTAGCTGAGCACAAATCAATTAGAAGAAAACAGTGACTAGTGAAGTTAGCAATACTCACAAACTCAAATGTACCTCAGTTTCTCTCACAACCAGAGGATGAAGCACAAAGACTAACAATGCGTCTAGCAAACCTTTGAAGCTCAATAGCACGACCACCATATGAACGCCACCAATCAACTATATTGCCAAATACAAACATATATTAGCATTTTGAGATGAAATATACTTGGCTACTTGCTGGAATTAAATTGCACATACTAAAACTTGCTGAAATTATAAGAAAAACAACACGTACGAGGGTTCAAATTTTGTAGGTTTTGCTTGGCCATTTTGTTTGAGAATGCATCTCCTCTAAGGCCTTCATAGTCCAAGGATTGAGCATCAATCTTGCTTCTAATTTCTTCATCCTCCACCATTCTTCCAAGCACATCAAGAAAACAGCCTCTTAACTGCCCAACAGTTGCATCATCATTAGCTTGTATGAGAGAATGCAGTCTTTCTGGGTTCAAATATAGTGCAGCCCCATACAAAGGATGGTCCATTTGTGTGACCCAACGCTTCTCAATAATCTTAATGATATTCTTGAGCAAGGTTTTCTTGTTTTCAGTAGCAAAGCTGAGCTTGATCTTCTCTTTTGCATGATTCACTAGTGCTGCAACCTCTGGCATTGCAGGCCTCTCATCACCATCAACCACCCTAAGAACAATAAGCAGAGGTGCTGAAGCTCTAAGGCAATCTTCAACTAAATTCCAAAATTCCATAGAGAGCACAGTGTTGTGCACTTCTTGACCGGCTGCAGTTTTTGCCAATTTGTTCCCCAACCATTCTTCACTAACAAATAAAGCCTTCAAAGCATCTCTGTGCTTGTGCAAACTTTTTAAAGTGAGGAAAGAGGTGGCAAATCGAGTGGCTGCAGGTCTCACAAGATCAGCCCCTGTCTTTTCTCTCATCAAACTAAGAATTCTCCCATGCCTATAGATGAAAGTTGTGACACGTTTGGCTCTTGCAATGGGCTTCTTAAATTCCTTCAAGTTCCCTATCTCTTCCAGCATAAGATCCAGGCAGTGTGCAGCACATGGGCTCCAATACAGCGTAGAAATCCTTTCCATTAGAATTCTACCAGCTGCCTTGTAATTAGCCCCATTATCAGTGATAACTTGAACCACCTTGTCTTCCCCAATCTCCTCAATCTTTGCCTCCAATAAATCAGCAAGCATAAATGCATCATGTACCTCACTTAATGCATCAACAGACTCCAAGAAATAAGTCCCTGAAGGGCTGTTCACAAGGAAGTTGATCAAATGGCGGCCTCTCTTATCAGTCCAGCCGTCTGACATAAGTGTGCAACCATACATCTTCCAGGCCTGCTCATGTTCCTCCCTCATAGAACTGGTCAATTTCACAGCATCCTTAAGCAATGGTTCACCTAAAACATATAGGGAGTAGGAGGCTTGTAACCTGAACCAAATTGTGCAGTTGCCTCAACTGCAATCTCAAACTGTCTTGCTGCTGCTGCATTAAATGGCACACCACACTCATAGAACCACAAGGCCCACTGCTGATCCACATAGTGCTTCTCCTCTTTGGTCCTTATCTTGGCTGGAATTGTTGGCTGAGAACATCCTTTACGCCTTTCATCAACAAGTTCTTCAGGTGTTTTCCGAAGCATCTCAACAATTGACTTGTTAACCTTTGGCTTTGCCTTTGTATTGCTTGCTGCAGTAGCCTTGAATAAATAATTTGCACGCCTTTGTTTAGCTGCAGTCCCTGAACTTGGCTGCACCTTGGAAGCTTGGGATTTCTGTGGTGCCTTGTCTTGACTTGAGCAGATTCACTCTAGGCAGCTGGGGCATGCATTGCATCTACCACCACCACATCTGCTGGTTCCTCGGGTGGCTCATCATCCTCTTCGTTGAACAATGGCCTCCTCCTATTATTGGATTCCAAGTAATCTCTCATCTCCTTCCTAATGGCAGTGGTGGTCTTAGGACATATTTTTGCATCTCCATATCCACCTGCCAGATGCTGCTTCAACCTTTTTATTCCTCCAGAAACCTCAGTGTCACAAAGAGTACATGTCACCTTATCTGGCTTCTGAAGGTTTGCCCAATATTCATACTTCCAGCCTAGATCATTTGAGTTGGCCTTTCTTGCTTTGTCTACCTTAGGATCATAGTTCTCATTGTTGACAGAAGGTGGACTAATGCTTGCCATTCTAGCATTAGAAAAAAAAATTTAGCAAGTTGGCAATGGCAAGTCTAAAAAAAATACTAGCAGACAACAGATCAAAAAAAAAAATACTAGCAAACTCTACATATGGTTTCATCTATGAGCCTGTGAGCTATCCATTCCAACTATGCAGCAAAGTTCAGACATGCATTGCAGTTGTGTGGTATCAGTTCTAATCCTTTAGTTTGTCTTATCAACTTGTCACTGTTATGCAGGCTCAAAAAGTTCTTGGAAACAAGTGGACTGAAATTGCAAAAGTTGTCTCTGGAAGGTGTGTTTTTCTTATTGGATTGTTGTTTATTGCAATTTGAAAAAAGGATAAAAATGAGATTTGTGAACTAAGGTTTATGGCTTATGTATTTTTGGGTTTGGCTACAACAGAACTGACAATGCAGTGAAGAATCGCTTTTCTACTCTGTGCAAAAGGAGGGCCAAGGATGAGGAGCTATACCAAGAAAATGGTGTGCCATGTTCCAACTCAAATGCAAAGAGAGTTCTCAGTTCTCATAGAAATAGAAGGCCTGACACCAGGCGGAGTTGCCTCCTTGCTACATATTAAGCAGATGAGGTATATAAAACACAAGCTGAACTTACATATTAAGCAGAGCAGAGTCATGAGCGAGAGCAGAGAAGAAAGAAGGAGGCGCGGAGTCGAGACTGACTTGCGGCTAGGGGACGGACGGCCTCAAGATGGAGAAGAGTCATGGACAGGCGGCTTCAAAGATCAGCAAGAGAGCAGAGTGCATGGATGGGGACAGGCGGCCTCAAGAGCAAGCAGTCGTCAGAAGAAGCAGAGAGCCAGTGTGGATGGGGACAAGCGGCCTCGTGGCGGTGAGCGAGTTGCGCTGGAGACCAGGCGGCCTCGCAGCTTGTTGGGACGGACTGCTTGAGGCGATCGCTGCGCTGCCGCCGTCGTTGGATTTGAGGTGCGTCGCCGCCCTCTCCTCTCTTCCTCTCTCCTTCCTTTCCCTCTCCTCTCTCGCTCTCTCAGACGTGATGGGGATTGGGAGCTTTGGCGGGTGGTGTAGGCGCGGCGCTGCTGCTTTTCCCGCGCGAGGGCGTCACGCCGTTCTTTTCCCGCCCGCTCGAGCGCGCGACGCCGCTCTTTCCCTACGCCTTTTACGTCTGCGGCGTCCGCCTCAGCGAGAAGGACGACTAGGCGACGCCATACGCTGGGACGGTGCGGCGACAGCGACGTCGCGCTTGAAAATCCGCCCGGACGACTAGTCGACGCCTAGGCGACACCTTAAAACTATGAAGAGTCTGTCTATCCAATAACCATGTGTTTTATACAGTTTCAACACATGAATTTTTTTACACCATAAAATTAAGATTCAACAACATTCATCCTCTTTCTACCTCCAGCCTTCTTCTACCTCCAGACAATCACAAATCACAAGATCACAGATCCACATATCACAAGAAACAATTTTTTTCTATGCAAAGACAAAAGGACAAATCACGTCCAGATCTGATCGGAGCCATACGACGCGACTGACGGAACGCGCGTATAGGCCTGCTCCCAGCATGGAGGTAAGCTGCAATGGCTCGACGTAGACACGCACGGACGGACACGAAGCGCTTGAGGCGGGCATGCATCCTTCCTTCTCAACACGCGACTTCGGCTCGTTCGCTGGTCTGAAACTTGGTTGAAACTGGCTGGTTTTGTGAGAGAGAAACACTGTAGCGGCTAGTTGATGAACAGTGTTCGCTGAGGAGGATCACCAGACCAGCGAACGCGCCCTTCAAGACGCTACTGGCTCGTGCGCCCATGTGACGATAAGAGGCCACCATGCAGCCGGGCACGTAGCTGTACGCGACTGCTTCTTGAGACGACATCGAAAAGGCGACCACAGGTGTTGCACAGAGAAAATCCATGTGTTTTTTTTATGCTAAAACAGATGTGTGTTGTATAGCATTTCTGTTTTGAAAAAGTTAGCCTACAGTTTGATTCTTTTTCTTATCTTTGGGGGGGAGGGGGAAATGACTCAGAGATCAAAGCTACCATCATAAATTCTATTCGTTTGAGTTTATTCAGAACTACTTTTCATCTATGAAATAATATTTTTTTCTCACAACATTTCAACATAAACTAAATTTCAGCATCAACAAACAGGGTGATAGCACGAACTATGAAATAATATTTTTTCTCACAACATTTTAACATAAACCAAATTTCAGCATCAACAAACAGGGTGATAGCACGAAACAACCACCAACCAGGCAACCACAGGCCCGTATAGGGGCTAAGCTCCCGGAAACACGTTAGGATTGTCGCGTAGCAATGTCAAGTTGTTTTTAGAGCGAAACTACGTCTTAAGTTTTCAACTTAACATGGTTATTTATTTTTTAATTTTTTTTGTGAGACCTGGTTAGAGACGCATACCCTTGTTATTTTTTTAAAAGATAAGTGACGTGGTTCAAGGAAAAAAAGATAAGCGACGTGAATTTAAACTTTCAACTTGACACAGATATTTATATTTTTTTAGATTTTTTTAGAATTATTGTGTTATTTTTAGCGAGAAGCGATTTATTTGTCAATAGCAAAATCTGTTAATTAGTCCAGTCTTTCAATGCGTTAGTATGTATATGTGAGTGTGCGTGCATATAAACCGTCTACATCTGCACTTTCGGGGGGAAAAGTTGTTTTTAGAATTCCATAGAATGATTCCAAAGCACCGAGGGATTGCAGAACCAGCTGACCAGTGTACCGTGTAAGCGTAAGGTCCGGGTAGCTGACCTGGACACCTTTATATTTTCTCCGGCCACTGCTGAAGACAATCAGTCTCGAAAACCAATAATGCGAGCGACAGCTCGTGAGCACGATGTCTGTACTTGCACGACGAGCCCCGATCATCTACTCTACCCACTGATGGAAAATAAGAGCCGCCCAGATCCATGCACCTACGGACGGAGTGGAGGCGCCACTCACCGGCAGTCTTCACGGCTCCGACCGCAGAAGCGCCCGCCCGGCCGTCCCCATTTCTGGCATGTGGCCGGATGCTTTTTTACTGGATCGGAAACGACGGGCGTTTATCTGCGCTTCCCCGTGTCCACACCGGGGAATGAGTGGCTGCGATCGAGACCCGGTTCCGGCGGTTGGGTTGGGCGCCCTTTATTACCGGCCGCCAGGAGCGGCAGCGGTGTATGGCGGCGCGCGCGAGGACGACGACCCCCGCTGGCCAAACTCGTGCGCCGTGCACGGAGGACGGTTGACGCAGCGGCTGGCGGCCTGGCGTGAAGGACTGGAGGTGTTCAATGTTTGTCCAGGTCTCTTCCGCATGTGGAACAATGCAGCGTCGTTGTCGAAGTCGGGGCCGACCGGCCGAGGAGGGCACCACGTGCTGCCCGGGTCCGGACCGCCGGAGCCCTGAGCCCGGGGAAATGCAGCGGAGACCGGAGCCACAGGTATATGTCTATACGTAATTATGTATGCATGTAACATATATGAGTAAAATTTAGAAAGAAAAAAATTACCGTATAAATTTAAGAGGATTACAACTCTGGGCTTTGTTCGGCTGTCATTATAAATTGGCTTATCAGTCATAGTACAATAATTTTTTTTCCAACAAATTAGCCGTACAAATCAGCCCAAACGACTAGTAAATTATATATGCGTAAAGATGGTCTCGACTGAACTTTTTTCTAAGGTCGGCGCCGGGAGATGCGAGATCCATTTTTCCCATGTGCAGCGTCGTAGCCTGCCGAGAAGGCCACATGTGCATTGCCCATGTGTTTGGTCAGCGCACTTGGATGAAAAGTCTCTTCTTAAGTTCTTTTGTCCTTTCTTGCGAGTTGCCCCTCATAAAAAAAATCACAAGGTAAGTCGTGAGATATGGTTCATTCTCAACATCTAGTTTTAATTTAACTATGTGAATGATGGTCATTTCAAACTCCTGGAGAACACACAAAAAAGTTTTACAGACACGCCTAAGTGCTTGCAGGATGCCATTTAATAAGCGCATGTGCGGGTTATCTGTTTTTTTGACTAAGTTGTTCTAACACTTGAGTCATCTCAGTCATTCAGTCAATGAGCATAAATAATGGGCTTCCAATAAAAAGGAACAAACAGCTCGTACGTGGATTCAAATACTCCAAGATGGCCACTCAGCCACTGTCAGGTGAGGTTGTAGGAAAAAATCATTACTATACACTCCGAGATGGCGAGATGTACATTACAGCACACACTACTGTTCTCCAACATCACTGTTAATATTTCCGGGAGATGCGAGATCCATTTTTCCCATGTGCAGCGTCGTAGCCTGCCGATCAGGCCACATGTGCATTGCCCATGTGTTTGGTCAGCGCACTTGGATGAAAAGTCTCTTCTTAAGTTCTTTTGTCCTTTCTTGCGAGTTGCCCCTCATAAAAAAAAATCACAAGGTAAGTCGTGAGCTATGGTTCATTCTCAACATCTAGTTTTAATTTAACTATGTGAATGATGGTCATTTCAAACTCCCGGAGAACACACAAAAACGATTTACAGACACGCCTAAGTGCTTGCAGGATGCCATTTAATAAGCGCATGTGCGGGTTATCTGTTTTTTTGACTAAGTTGTTCTAACACTTGAGTCATCTCAGTCATTCAGCTCAATGAGCATAAATAATGGGCTTCCAATAAAAAGGAACAAACAGCTGGTACGTGGATTCAGATACTCCAAGATGGCCACTCAGCCACTGTCAGGTGAGGTCACAGGAAAAAATCATTACTATATACTCCGAGATGCCGAGATGTACATTACAGCACACACTACTATTCTCCAACATCACTGTTCTACAAAATTTTATTTTGCAAGTACGGTAGGTACGAGCAACAAGGTGAATCCAAATCTAAACCAAACACACACATGACACAACCTACGGGGTACGGGCCTAGACCACACAGCACGAAGACAAAGAGGTCGCTTTCGTCTTCCAATGGAATCCGGCATGGATCAAAAGTAATCTGAAAGAACCGACGCAGAAACCCTCAAGGATTGGGAAAGCGAGGAGATGTCTTTTTCAAGTATGGCCAGCAGATATAAATGGGTGGATTCCAATGGGAAGTTTCCACCTATCCAGATTCCGCTCCTCCGATGTCACAATGAAAGAATGTGCATGGATGTCACAATGAAAGAATGTGCATGAACAGGCTTGTCATCTTGGTCATTGGCCCCGTTCGCTTCGCTGAAAAAAAATAAGCCGAAACACTATTTCGGCTGATTTGTTATAAGAGAAAAATACTGTTCTAGCTGAAAAAAACAGATTATAAGAGAAGCGAACAAGGCCGAGACAATGGGTCTAATTAACAACACAGCTGAGGTGGGTGTTGCAATTGTTTGAAAATGCAAGTCCGTTCATCTTCCGATAAAAAAGAACAGCTCGTATGTGGATTCAGATAGGCAAGACGCGTGGCATAATTTGTTGGTGAGGTTACAGGGGAAATCATCACTGCATGGAAATTAGCAAGATGTACAGCACAGACGCACTATTCTTCAACACCACTGTTCTACAAAAATTTATTTTACAAGTACTATGGGTATGAGCAACAACAAGGTGAATTCATAACATGTAGAAATGTACAGGTTATGTACATTTACCAAACACACACACACGGCCTAGAGTACAAAGCGCGTAGAAAATGGAAGGCTTTCGGTCTTCAAGGGAATCCGATGTGGATCAATAGTCTGAAAGAACTGATGCAGAAACCCTCTTCAAGGATGAGGAAAGCCTGGAGATGTCTGATTCAGTGTGTCCAGCTGATACAAACAGGCGGATTCCAAGGGGAAGTTTGCACCTATCCAGATTTGACTTCTTTGATGTCACAATGAAGACTGAATCTTCCTTCAAGACCTGTTGGGGAAAGAATGTGTAAACAGATGCTTGCGAAAAGTCATATAAACTGCAGCTTGAAATTCTATTAGAGTTGATTCGAACTTACCTTGTCAGCAATAGTTTCAAGAAGATCTAGATCAGTGGTAGGAGAACCAGTCGATTTGTTCAGCTTAAGGAAGACGATAGGCGACAGAACATGGCTGGAAATTTCAAGCCCTGGAGTATCTGATAGTTCTGCAGAGTGAATAGAAAGAGTGTTGAGATGGTGGCCACCAGTTGGTTACGTAGTAAGTTGGAAATCGTGTCGACAGTAGTTATGGCTTGTATTTGTTTTACAACTTAATCATGTTTTCCCTGGTATAGGAACCTAGAGCTCAGAGGGAAAATAAGTTGCATTGTAATTCACTGTGGCTTCTGTATACTTTAAAAGTTTGCAGTTAGAGTTGCCTCGGTGTTATGCCCATATTTTTCCACATTAACCCAGAAAAATGAACAAATAAGTACGACCTGGTCAAAGAAATAGTTAATTGACAATAGAATCAGCTTACTTTTATGCAAAAGAGCAATATTGCTCCTTAGGTTTGCAAGAACTGAGGGATTCTCCTCCAGGTAGTTGACGGCAGAAACAGCAGCACTGGCAAGATAAGGTGGCAGAGATGCAGAGAAAACATACCCAGAGCTGCTTAGACGCTGCAAAATTTTATATATCCTTGGTCAGATAATAAAACACTAAACTACAAGAGTTTCTACATCAGAAAGCGATGTTCCATCAATCTGGTATTGCATCTACCTGATGATCAACAACTCTGACACTTCCTGAACAAAAGCCACCATCAGTAGCTAATGCATTTCCCATTCCAGCAGTGATGATATCAATTTTTTCAATCTGCACAAGCATGAGAGTTTCAGAAAAGGGAAGAATGTGCTTAAGAAATCCAGTAAGTACTAGATCCATATTCTATGAACCAATTGGTGACTAACCAGAAAACTGTGCAATATAAAGCTTGTTTTTTATTTTACACCATTCCAGTATCACGGTGAAACATTTAGAACAGCTGAAGGCAAAACACTCACAGGAACTCCATAATGTTCAGCAAGGCCACGCCCAGACTTGCCAAGCACTCCAAAAGAATGGCTCTCCTCCAGAATAACACGGAACCGATATTTCTCCTTCAACCTGACAATCTCATCCAAGGGGGCAATTTGGCCAGAATTCTGTGTTCACAAACCATGACGACTGTAAGAGAGGTTTCACGAATTGCCTAGGTTGTACAGGTTGAATTGACATCTTATGTTCCAAACTTTCATAAGGACATATGAAAAAAGCCAGCACAAATCGACACAAAACAATAAAAAAAGGCACTGCACCTGGTAAATGGATTCTACAACAATGTAGCGTCTAATCTTTTCAGCACGTTTATTTCCACGAGTAAGTTTTTCCAAAGTGCTTGCAAGTGAAGCCATATCATTGTGCTTGAAGTACACCACAGTGCTTCTTGATAGATGGAGACCATTTTGCACTGCCCAGTGAACACCCTCATCACTGCAATCACATCAAATATTGGTGCAAATTTAGCAAGGGAACAGTCGAAGAGAAAGAAAAAAATAACAGAAAAAACTACCCAGGTATAATTAACTGACAGAGGAATATCAATTCATCAATAGAGACAAGAAAGACGCGACAATGTTGTGCTAAAGCTGAGCTGGATAAATTCATATGTCTAAAAGCCAAGCATGCGGATATCAATACAATAAACAAGTCAAAGTTTCATAAATACTTGTGAATTGAATTTCATAAATTTTTAATATGGTGAACTTACGCGACTATGATATCTCCTTTCTTACAGAAGGCAGGTATCACACTGAATATTGTAGAAATCCCATATGAATACAGAATGGAGTCTGGAGTCCCCAGGAAATTAGCTATTTTTGACTCACAGTCAAGATGAACATCTGCAGGAATACATTGAAAAGTTAAGTTCCTCCTCTATACTTGAAACCAAGGTGATTGTCTGTGGATGATAGTACAAACCAATTGTTCCATAAAAGCCACGTGGACCACAAGACCCAACACCATATTTCTCCAGTGAACCAATGCAAGAATCCTGAAAGCCATTCACTTTGTTTAGATATTTCAAAAAAAGACGTTGAAACATTGTCAAGCAATAGACTTGTCTCTTACAATAATCTTTTCGTTGCCAATTAAACCGAGGTAGTTTGCTGATGCAAAGTTCACAACTTCTTTACCATCAACAATCGTATGTGGTCCAGCGGCACTGTATAAAAGCAGAATAGAAGGGTTCACTCTGATCCTGAGAAGTTAATATGATGCAATCATAACTACTTCACACCATAAACATTTGCAATCTATACTGCGTGCATATTTGTAACACAAAACTAGAAATGCCTGAAGAAAATTCTGGTGAATTCAATGATATACACAGATAACTCAAACGGATTTCAGGGGATATTCAACAAAAAAAATATTCCATGTATAGGAGTGTCTTCAGATAGAGCACTGCTATCACAAGGGATGTTCAATAGCTATCCCTATAACAGAGAGATAAAATGCCATCATAGTATGCACACTGGTAGGAACTACTGACTAGGAGAGCATATCATTGATGAAATTCCTGTTTTATTAGCGCAATGCATCCTAAGAAACGACATTACATTGGCAACTACATGAAGGTACAAGCTTATATTGTGATGTCATGAAACCCTCCTAAGAAATAAGATTAGCAATATACATCTGGCAGCATACATTAGATGCTTTGATGATCCTACTGATATCAGAGAAGAGAGAATACAATCCAAGAAGCATGTAGCCACGTAGGCATTTGGGTAGCAAGGGAAAATGATACTCTATGTGATTCAAGGTGTCCCTTGCTGCTTATTCATGAGTACATGGTCTAAATGTCATATAACCTAGCGAGTAAATGTTCCAGATCAATAGGTCCCACACATGGCACTATTAAGTTAAGTGAAACTAGTATAAGAACTGCACTAACAGTCCCACAATTTCAAGAGTGAGACCACCCAGTTAATCCATAGATATGAAATGATATGTAGGATTGCTCATGCAACAGCAACCACAATGTACCCTATTTATTTGTGAATTTACTTTAAGCACAAAATACTTTAGACTGATATAAGTTTCCAACACCAAAGGGTCAACAACTGGTTTGAAGTAACAATCTAGTATGACTCCATTGGAAACCAAGCTATAATGCAAACCTTTCCAACATTGGAGTATCTATTCTGGCCCCTTCCTTGATTGGAGGGCATAGCGGCTCTGGCTCCCACTCATCACATAGCTCATCAATCTCCTGCAGAGACAAAATGCTAGCATTCAGTGATATGATTCATGAAGCGACGACAAGAACTATATTTTCCACTATTAAGTAGTAACTGGTTCTAGTAGTTAGGAACGAGCAGAAGAACACCTGACCTTTTCAGTGAGTGGTTTCTTTGGCGGTTTGTAGCTCTTCCTGGAGAGCTGAAACACTATGACTGCAATAAGCAGCCCTTCCACGACCAAGTGCCCTGAAAAATCACGTCGCCACTGAATGTGAGACACTAAGCCCAACCAACCCATCTTATGAATCGATGAGAAAAGAAGGATTACCATCAATATGGACCCCAAAGACGACTGCACGGGCAAGGGGGGCATTGAACGCAGCCGAGACACGGGCGAACACCGCCGCTGTGGCATTCACAACGGGCAATGCCATGTCCATGTCCCCAGGAGCTTCCCTCAGGAACTGTTAGCGCCCTGAATCTGCCAACCAAGCAGTTTCAATCAGTCAGATCGATCGCCGAACCAGGTACGGCGGGCTTAACAGCTGAACCCCTTTCGAATTCTCGGAAAACAAACAGACCACCATCTACTGCTCCCCTGCGCACAGCAAGGGAATCCGCGACGAATTGGACGGCCTGGAGAGATCCCCCATCCCAGCAACAGAGATTCGGGTTTGATTGGCAGCACTGGTAAGATCCAGCAGGAGAACACCAACGACTCATCCAAGCGAAGCTAGGGCTTCCTTACCGATAAAAGGAAGGAATCGATCCCAAGTCCGGTCGGATCTCCGCGCCGCGCTGTCGAGAAGAGGAGGACAAACAGCTACAATTTCCTCCGATGTGGCGACTTCGCTTCAGCGGGAGGAGCTTGGAGGCGCGCTTTCGCCGGCGACGGGTCTACGAATGGGCCCGGGAGCCAGGCGGGGAGTAGGCGCCGGTGAGTCGGGTTCGAGCAGTGGAGCGATGGATTCGAGGCGGTGGTGGTCAGTGTAGTCACGACGGGGTTGTAATATAAAGGGGGCCGGGGAGGGAGACGACGACGCGGTGGACAAAGAGAGGGAGGAGACCAGTGGGTTTGAGTGGGCTGGCTCCCGGGCGGCGGTCGTCTTTGGCTGGCGCCTGGCTGGGCTCGACTTCTGGCCTTGCGGAGCTCGTCCCTTTCGTTTCGTTCAACCTGGGCGTCCGGGCCAGCCAGCGTTGATCCAATGAGGCAATGATGATGATCCGTGTAGTGTGGCAGTGGTCAATCCTGGCTGATGATATCCCTTTTTCTATTGGGATTCCGATGATCCCTCTCTCTACATCTTCTGCTGGGCTTGGCTTTTTTAGTTTTAAAAACTTTTAATTAGTGGTTAGTTAACCCCCTGCGCTTGACTGATGGCCCCTAAGACTGGCTTCAGTTCAGAGGTAGTAGTACTACTCCTTCAGCAGCGTCGTAGCCTCGCTGGACAGGACTTGCCTGATGTCATGTCGTGTGGTGTTTTGACGTGGTTGCATGGGGCGGACTGATTCAACTAGAGGGGGCAGAGGAAAATAACGTGGAACGAACGATTGATTAGTCATTGTGCGAGAGCAGAGCTGGAGACCTGTGCCCTATTTAATTCGCTGATAAGTCATGGTTAAAAATACTGTTGGCTGATTTGGTGTGGGAGAAAAATAATATTTGTTGGCTGAAAAAGTACGACTTATAAGCCAAACGAACAGGCACCGGATTGCTCGGTCAATTTCGAAGCCTTTGGAGGTGTCATAAAAAAAATCCTAAAGCACATACCTATGACCTCTATTATTTGGTTTTTGCAATAGCATTGCTGCTATGTTAGCATTCCAGACATTTGTTTAAACTGACAGGTCATATTAGTGGCACATTTGTTCTGTGTCTATGGCCTTTCTTTAATCCTGAAGGGATGGTTATTGGAATTTCGACTTGTTTTTGGAGAAATTTGACACAACATTTTTCTTTAACAAAAGTCACTAGTCGACAATGTTACTCGTACATATACACGTATTGTCGGGTTCATAAACCCGGGGTCCCTCATGGACCTGCTTTCCAGCAAAAGCTCGGCCCAGCAGACGACGTTGCGAACGACGCGAAACTCCTGGGCCAGCCCAAAAAAACTAACGACAGACCAGAAGGGCGATCCTGGCCAAGGAGATTCCGGCCCGCCTCTCCGACTGGAAGGCCTGGCCAAGGAGGAACGCGCGCTCGCTTCCGACTCCGGAAGGCCTGGCCAAAGAGAAACGACGCTTGCTTCCGACTCCGGCCCGCCTCTCCGACCGGAAGGCCTGGCAAAGGAGAGGACGACGCTCGCTTTTGACTCCGACCCACTTCTCCGACCGGGAATACACCGAACCTCTATTACAGCTCTTCTCCGACCGGGAGGCCGGAGCCGACTGGGGAACGACCGACCGGGGACGCCCGCTCGGTGAAGACCCAGGAAGCGGATAGAGCAAGTAAGGCGGGGCGCTCTAGTCAACCGTAATATCGAGGACCGTACCCTACACACATGTAGGACAGTATTGTCAGACCGTGTCAGAAGGATGCTCCGCAACCTTCCAGAAATGTCAGAACATGAACAGTGTTGTGGGCGCCGACATTTATCCTATAGTATGGTAGGCACCGGCATTTTCCATACCAGAAGAACGTAGTGGAGCCAACCACATGCATCCAGCCATCAACAGTGTTGTGGGCGCCGACAAACCACCTTGTACCCGACGGCGTGGACAATAAGACTAGGTAGCACACACACTCTTTCTCTCATACTCTCTCTTGTAAAGCCGTCCCTTCATCTATAAAAGGAGATGCGCTCTCTCCAAAAGAAGGACGATTCAAACAACTGATTCTAATTCTCTTTGTTTGGCTCTAGAACTCTAAAGCCAGACAGAGCGTACGTTCGAACACTTAGCGCACGTTGGAGCTCCCGTCACTCTCAGCCCTTCGATCCGGAGTCCGACCGGACCTCTGATACCCCCATCTTACTCCCTCTCGTTTGTAATCCCACAACAAACTTCGAGCACCTGGGCTCAGGAATAAAGTCACCGACCGACTCAAACTGGACGTATGGCACGTTGCCTGAACCAGTATAACCCCTGTGTCATTGAGTGCTAGGCCACACCCGATCACAACGTACAACAAAACTATAAATATTTACGTGTTGGTCACTTTTCGCACCGATAGTTGGCGCCGTCCGTGGGGAAGACGCCGTACATTCACTCTTTTGGTCATCGGATGGCCCACCTTTCCGCCATCTTCGACATGGCGGGCTCAAGCGATACGACTCGCTTTGACTCGTTGGAGTTTCCCACGCTCCTACCTGTTGGGATGTGGGTTCCTCCCATCTTAGAGCCATCTCAGGCCTTCCTCTTCGGAAGCTTGGACTTCGTCGCCCGCAAGGAGGCACTTGTCCCAGTGCCCGACGAAGGAGGAGCTTCCTCCATCGACTCTGAGACACCCGGCGACCTCAACAACGAGGCTCCTGCGCTTCGCTCCGAGCCTACGCTGGGCTCAAACCCCACTGTGAGTAACGTACATACTACTCTTTACTCGCTTTTTTATATTTTCCACTGACTCTCCAGAGGGACCCTGTTGTCCCCACCGCGGCCGCCATACGACCGGTTCCCCTACGACCTCGCGTCCCCTGTGGACGCGTACGCATGGGGGCTCTGAAAGATGCTGACGTCGCTCCCTCTCACATCCGAATTCGTGGGGATGGCGAGCTATGCTCCCGCCTCTTTCCACGACCTCATGGATGACGAGGTTGACAGCGATGGCTCTAGCATCGGCGACATCATGGCACCTAGCCACCCTCTGTCCTAGGAGTGCGCTATGGCGGACGCTCTGGGATAGCCGCCGGTGGTGGCGGAGTCTACAGACCCAACCCCTCTGGACCCTCACACAGAGGCCCTCGCATGTGCGCAGAAGCACGGCGAGGAGCTGTGACAAAGGCGGCAGAACCAGCCGCCACCTGCGCCGGCACGCTCGGCGCAGCACGCTACGCCCTGTGCACGTAACCCGGCGAGCGGCGCCCGGGGTCGCGCCCGCCAGGTCCAGCGTGACATCATGGACGGGGAGAATGATCCCCCATAGTTCGCTTAGGCTGGCCAGAACATCGCCGATGCGGCGATGCTTCTGCGCGGTCTTCCCGAGCCTATCGACCCACAGGAGCAGGCGGTCCACCAGAACCTCTGGGCGCTGGTGGAGACCACCGCCGTTCAACAGGCGGAAAGCTCCACGACGTGCCACTGACTCACGGCCTCTCTCCCCACCAGGGGAGCGGGGACGCACCAGATGAATCGCTCCATCCGCTTACCACTACAGTCGCCGGGCGTGGAACAGGAGGCCGCAGCTGCACCATGGCCTGACTCGGCGCCCGCTCCACATCGGCCACCTGTGCGCGAACACCTTGGGCCAAATCGAGATGCTCATAGCGTCATCTGCAACCGGTGTCGGGCCTGGCATGATGATGGCATCCATTGGGCAGCGGTGAGAGCAGGTGACATGGGCCCCGGCCGGACCATCGAGGGGAGCGGTGAAACGTGCCCCAGTCATGGTCGCCGATCCGACGACCGAAGTCCCATGCTAGATGGCCTGGGACCACAGGCCTTTGGCCGGCGCATCTAGAGAGCGCCGTTCCCACAGCACTTCCGATCGCCTACCAACATCGCCAAGTATATCGGGGAGACGAATCCTGGTATATGGCTCGAAGACTTCTGGCTCGCCTATCAAGCCGAATGAGTGGATGATGACCACTTCATCATTCAATACCTCCTCATCTGGGTGGGGGAACATGTTCGAGCATGGCTCGAATTCCTCTCACATGACAGCATCCGCGACTAGGCGGATCTCAAGAGGATCTTCGTCAGGAATTTCTAGGGGACATATGTCCGCCCTAAGAACTCCTAGGACCTCAAGAGCTACCAGCAGGGGCCCAATGAGTCCCTACGGGATTACATCCGTAGGTTCTCAAAGCGGCAACTCCCTTCCTGATGTCGTCGATGCGGACGTCATCAGCGTATTCCTCTCTGAGACAACCTGTGAGGCCCTTGGTTGCCTGAAGCCCCGTACCACCCGTGACCTGCTCGACGTCGCCACGAACCACGCCTCCGGTGAGGAGGCGATCGGAGCAGTCTTCAACGGAGGCCGGGACAAGGGCAAGGCCAAGCGCGAGGACCAAGACGAGGGCCTCTACAGGCAGAGGGGCAAAAATAACAAGAAGGATCAACGCTGACCGACCAACTCCGTGTTGGTCGCCGCAGCTGATCGTGCGGGCAAGCAGCCCCAGTAGGGCCAGCCTGACCACTTCAACAAGCTCATGGATAGCCCATTGACTAACCGCGCTTACCCCGTCAAGCACCTCTACAAGGACTGTGAGCTCCTCAAGCGCTTCTTGCGACAGACTGGTGGGCCAAAAGAAGGAAAGGGCAAGGAGGCAGCAACCAAGAA